GTGTCTTTGATTTTCGTTTGTTGCCCAGTCACCAGGGAAACCATTCATTATGTACAGTTTTTGTAATACGCGCAGTTATCGAATTCGGTTGGAGGAACCTATTCTGTATATTATTTGGTCGCTGTGGCCAACCCACATGGAATTTATAACCTCAAGACGTTTCACGCGAAATCAAATCAATGTTTAAGTTAAATAGTTTTAAGTACAAGAACAGTTAGTTAAGTCGGAAACAAGCAAAGCAATTATGCGCCTCAAGTTAAAGATCGTGTAAAAACTTAAACCGCTATGTAGAAAATAGGAATCGATTACAAACTGTATAGATGTGTGTGAGTGCGTGTGGCGTTTCTACATAAACCGATATATCTCCATATGCTATAGTGTACGTGTTCGTCTTGATTTCCCATGAACAAATAATATATATATATTTGATTATTATGATGTATTACGAAGATGAGGATTACTATTATGACTATTATTATAATTACTGTGTGTAATTAATGCAACAAATTCGTATGCCTAAGTGGAAAGCGTAGACAATTAAGTATTGAAGTAGTTAAGCCCAACAAAGTCCCGACCCCCCAAGAATCCGCCACCACACACCACCACCTTTGCCCTTAAAATGATTGAATATTGTTTAAACTTAATGGTAAATTAAATGCAGAAAAATAAATGTTTTAAACAAAAACTTTCCGCCTTGCAGTTTGTCATCCACTGGCCTACAGTTTTAGCAGCCTCATTTCGCAATTGTCACCAAAAGTGCGTCAGTGAAGTTCGAGAGGAATTGACTTACATTTATTTTTTGATTTTGATTACCCAGGTCATTCACCAGAGTCTCCCCCTTAACAGTGTCATATTCCGCACATCAATTATCACCCGGACAGATGTTTTGTTTTACAGTTTTAGCCACGTGATGCACTTAAAATTATGGCCAATTGACTTTCGATTTCATCACCAGCTTGCCTTGTAGAACAGTTATTCCGTAGGTTTAACAAGACTTACAGTTTAGATATCGCTTTAAATGGATTCGGTTAAGGTTGGAAAACGATTGGACAAGAAACTTTTCAACGGCACTACGAATTATAATCAGAATCTAATAAAATGTTACTTAAAATAATTAAATATAAAATTATTTCCTAAAATCATAATCAACGATTAAAACCTGAATTACTGCTGTTTCGGGTGCAGGATACGCATATAGTTTTCTTACAGTTGCAAAGCCTCTGATTCATCACTTCAACAGTTTACGAGTCACCAGTCACGGCCCAGAAACATGATTAGGCCAATTAATTTGAAAGGCAAACATTAAACCATAAGATTGAGCGAACCGATTGAACAAACAGTCAAAGCAAAGCATAAACAAAGTGAGTTGTTTGTTAAAATAAATCTTGAAATATTCGTTACGCATTTTTCACGTGCTTAGACTTGAAAAACAGACAAACGACAAGCAATTGTGTTTGCGGCGCAATGCACAAATCAAGTGCTAAGCCCGGCTTAAAGCCGTCAGATGGCAGTGAAGTGGCTACCGTTTAATGGGGGGAATCGCAGGGGCTATTAAACAACTCAATTCCAGCTTAACTGTAGATGATAGAACGCCCAAAATCGCCAGATGTTGGCCTTAATTATTAATGCAAATTAACGGCTGTCGGCGTCTGAAGTTTATCGACTGTTGTGTTTGTTCGACGACTGACCACCGGTCACTACTGCCTGCATGTTGACCAAGTGCCAAGTGCCAGGTGTAGGTCATTGCGTTGGCGCTCTAATTGATGTTTTTATTTCGCACATAATTACTATCTATTTGGCCCCTTCAAACGGAACTGAGTGCGCGGGAAGTTCCCCGAAACTCGTTTCTTGATGTGGGGCCATGTGACGTCAAAGACGGTGCTCCGAATCGGATACAAGAGAGTTTAAAAAAAGAATATAGGGGTTTGAAAATAAATGGCCTTGATGTTGGCTCCACAACGAGGGCCGGCATCAAATTATGAGAAGAAGACCTTTCCGTAAAGTTCAAGCTCCTGCTCCACATCCCAGGATTTTACTCGGGTTTCAGGTTTCTTCAAGAGTCTTTCAAGGTGTTTTAGGTTGCAAAATCATCTTATTTGTCAATGTTTAATGGTTTAAATTTTAGGTAGTTTCGTTCTGCCAATTGCCTGTTTTTGAAGCAATATAATTTAATCTGGTGTTTGTTGCTCCAATTAATGAGAGCCTTCATAAGCTTCTCAGCGATTTTGATCGAAATTTAACGATTGTATTTCTTTGTGATTTCAGTTCAACGCAAAAATATTTGCTTTGGGAGAAATATATTTTTCTGCTGACGTTTGTGAACGATTAAAATAAATACGAAAATAGCGAAAAACGTAGTTCATTCAGTCCCCGATTGGACTGTTATTGAGTTTTTGCTGGTAAATTAATTTAAATTTGCACGCAGGCCAAATGACGTCTTGGGTTATTTTGCCGCTGCTATTCGCACGTGATTTAACCAACGTGCACCGCGTATAACCCCGTAAAAGATGAAAAGACTTGGTCGAGCTCCGGTTATTGGGGCTTTGGAATTTTCGGCGGAACTGTGAGCGGTTCAAGTGCGTTTATGGCCATAAACCTTAGCCGCTTCGCCTCACCTGGCCAACGTTGCCAAGCAGCTGTATCTCAGACATTGGAATTTATTGGCTCACGAGAGAGATCCGGCGACAGATGATCCGGAAAAGCAGGCAGCAGTCAAGTCACCAGATACACAGAACAAAATTAAATTAAGTTTTAAGTGGTATAAGTGTGTTTACGTATTATACTTTATGATATATCTTACTATATTTTGCTTAAATTAAATTAAATTAAATGCAAACCAATTCTTTATTGCTCCCTCTTTAATGTCTCTGTAAATAATTACTGCAACTAACCTTGAGTAATATTTAAAATGTAGTAGAGATAATTATTTCTTTATCTGTATCTGTCGATGGCGTGATGAGATGGCACACCATTTTCAGACATCTTAATGAACCACCGGGACGCGCTAATCAACACCCAATTAACACCTGATGTATGCAGCGTTTGCGGATTGCGCATACGCCACCGAACCGCATTGGCCGGAGTTTGGCATGCAAAATCGCTCTTTGGGGGCGATAAGATAAGCAAAAACGTGGCTAGCCAGCAGTAAGCACTTTGATCTGCTTTAATTAGCGCGGACGTGCCTCCGTCTCCATTCAATGATATCGAACGATCCGCGGACAACAGAATCATTAAAGAATCAATTGTTCCCGACGCACGCGCCCGAAAAAGACAAATGCTCCAGCTGGTGATCTTGAGCATCTAGAAGCAACATCATCGGATCTACGTCACATGAGCCAACGTGACTGTGGTCAGTTCAAGATAGAAAGAAGGAAAGAAACCTATACTAGATGCTTTCCCCATTGGGCCTGGCAACAAGATCCCAAAGATCTCTCTCAAAGACAAGTTATGAAATTGCTCAGCTTGGGAAAGTGGCGGCCCCTCCTGACGAGGCTTACGTGTGACTTTGGAGGTATGCTTATTACCTCAGAGTGCGAAATCTGAAAACCCTCTAGAGCCGCCAAGGTGAATCTTGAAGCCAAGTTCGCCAATTGGAGCAGGTAATTGGGCCAGCATGTGATCAATGAGTGTTTTCCATCAGGCTGGAAACAGCCAAAGAGCAGAAAGTAATCAGCAGTGGTCAGATAAGCTAATGTTTTGAGATAACTTAAGCAAAGACAATTTTTTGGCTGTTTCTATTTTGATATAATCACCTCCGAAAAAGTGGCACCATCACCGCACTGGGAAGCTTACTTAATGGAACGCAATCCCTTGAGTTTTTCGCTTCCACATTCGATTTAAACATATTAAATTATAGAATTTTATTGGAGTCATGACTTTATATTTATGTCCGGTCCAACCACATATGATTCAGCTTCGTATACGAAAAGTATTTCCCCTGAAATCAGATATCCATTTATATATAAGTCGGGCCAGGAATGTGAGTTAACACTCTCTACACTCTACCAAGCGAGCCTCTTCTCCCTGCTGTGTGTGTTGTGTGTGCGAAAAAACAAAGCTGCTCCGATGCGATTGCCTGCAGCTGAAAAAGCCACAAAAATGTGCGGGAAATGATATAATTTGCCTGATTGACATTGTTTAACCTTATTGCACATTTGCCTCCTCCGTCCAGCGCCCTGCATGGGCCATATAACGGCGCCGACTGGAATTAACTTGAATTTATTGAGTCGCGGTCGGGCAGGGAAACCGGTCCTGAGGAAGAGTCTTCCAAGTCGGGCATTACACCGCCTACCTCTGTTTTCCCTTCCGACCATCGGCCATTTCAGGCGCGACCAGACGGCGACTGTACAAAAGTGGCTGCGACTAAATATAAATTAACTCCTGCCGCTCGTCGTCGTCTTATTTGGCAACTGGATACTGGAATCAGGAAGGGGTAGGAGCCAGGTAGCCAAAGCCTTTGGGTTTTGACAAATTTAAATAATTATCCCCACGCATAGAGCGTGTCATTGATCAATCGATAGTCGATTGGGCCCCTGGGTGCCGGGTTCAAGTCCAGATCCAGGTCCAGGTTCAGTCCCTTCACTCGCTGGGCCATAAATTCCCAGCAGACGGGCTAAAAATAAAACCAGGCTTAACCTTGAGGCATAACGGAAGAAGCCAAGCGAAGGCTGGTCCTGTCCCGTCCTGGGAGGAAGGGCTCCCGGGGAGGAGGTCGGCCAATTAAGTTCGAGATAAAGAACACCGGCGACCTAGGGCAACAGAATATTTATTGAAGCATCCTGTAGAGCCAACGGTTGGCCCAAGGACATCCACAAACCGCTTCCACATCCACTTGCGGTTCTTTTCCACTCGCCGGCAAGCGGGTATAAAAGCCCTCGGCCAAGGGCCACCACCGCAACAGTCTTCCAGCATCAGCAGTCGAAGTTGTAGCGAAGTCTTGGAGCACCACCCGAGCCCCAGAAGTCCTACTAGTCGCTGCCCCACCTCCAAGCCAGACCAAGATGCGTCTCTTCCTGATCGGCCTGCTGGCCCTGGGCTCTGCAAGAGCCTTCTCCGTCGTCCGGACGCTTCCGCTGCCGCAGCCACATCCCCAGCTGGTGGCCTATGCGCCGGCCCGGGGCGAGTTCCCCGTGGTGAGTGGTCTGGCCCAGGGCTATGTCCGCTACTACGACGGCACAGGAGCGGAGCGTTTGCTGGCCTACAACTACCCGGAGCCTCTGAATGGCATCCGCGATCTGGCCACATCGTCAGCTAATCTTATCCGGTCTGGTCAGGAGCAGGAGAGCCAGCAGGTTGCGCTCTTCCGTGCTTGGTGCGAGCAGCGCTACCAGGCCATGCGCCAGGAGCTGGAGCGTCTGAAGGCTCAGGGGCTGAAGCCCAGCCCCAGTATGATGGCCCAATTCGAGCCCCTCGAGCAAATCGTCAAGTTCTCTGCCTTCGAAGCTGTTCCCGGACTGAGTCCCGAGGTCCAGCGAGCCCGGGATGAGCAGCTTCGCATTTGGAACGAGGCCAGGCTGGAAGTGCTGCGCGCTGAACAGGCCCAGCAGCAGCTCGGCCAGTACCAGGACCAGTTCCAGACCAAGAAACCGGATGTGCCTTTAATCTATGGTCAGCAACAAGTTCTGATAAAGACCTCGGCGCCCCAGGTAGCCCAGCAAATTGCCACGCCTCAGACCCACTCCTACGGGCAGTTTGTTCAGGGTCAGGATAATCTCCTGCTCAAAACGGCATCGCTCTCCGGTCCTCAACCCGTGGAAGAGACTCCCGAGGTTAAGCTGGCCCGCGAGGAACATCTCAAGCAGTTCAACGAGGCCCTCCTCCGCCAGCCTGCCCAGGAAACCCCCATTGTGAAAACTATTCCTGGAATTCAGCAGCCATTTGTGGCCGAGCCCCAGCCTCAGCCAATTACCCAATCCACTACCACGATTACCCAACCACAAATATTCATCAAGACCTCCGCCATCGATGATCAGCAGGCTCCGCAACCCATTGAGGAGACCCCGGAGGTGAAGCGGGCTCGCGAGGAGCACCTCAAGCAGTACAATGAGGCCCTGCTCCGTCAACCGGCGACGGCCGAAGAACCCATCCTGAAGACGACACCCATTCAGCCCCAGGCCATCACCTTGCGGGATCAGCAGCAGGCTCCTCTGCCCATCGAGGAGACCCCAGAGGTGAAGCGAGCCCGTGAGGAGCACCTCAAGCAGTTCAACGAGGCCATCCTGCGCCAACCCATTGACACACAGCAGCAGCCACTGGTTCCCATTGCACCCATTCCCCTCTTCGCTCCCCAGGCTCCTCAGATTGTGAAGAGCTCCATTGAGGGTCCGCAGCCCATCCAGGACACCCCCGAGGTCAAGCTGGCCCGTGAGCAGCACCTGCTCCTCCTGAACCAGGCCAAAATAAAAGCCGAAGACAAGGTGGCCGACATTGCGGACCTTATTCGCCTGGAGGAGCGTGAGCGGGAGAGCGAGCGTCTGCAGGAGCTGGAGCTGCGCAAGCAGGAGGAGAAGGAGGCCGAGCTGGAGCGCCAGAGGGAGGCAGATCGCATGCGCGAAGAGATCCGTCTGCTGGAGGCCGAGCGTGTGAAGATCGAGCTTGAGGATCGCCAGCGCCTGGAGAGCGAGCGCCAGGCTGAGCAGCAGGAGCTCAGTCAGCTGAAGATCACCACCAGCTCCGAGAAGGGAACACCCGAGTACCTGCACAAGGCGGAGCAGTTCAAGATCATCAACCACCAGGCTCAGGCACAGCCTCAGACTCAGCCCCAGGCCCAGCCCAACATTGTGACCCAGCAGCAGTCGGTGCAGAATGGCTTCTTCCTGCGCATCCAGACCAATCAGCCCAATGCCATCCAGCCATCCCCGACAGTTCCCATCAGCAGCAGTCCCAATCCCTTCCTGGTCAAGTACACTCCCCAGCCGCAGCCACTGCAGCCACTACAGCCCCTGCCCATCCCTATCCTCTCCAAGCTGAAGCAGGAAGCCAGCTACAGCGCCAGCTTGGACAAGGCCACCAGGGAGCACTTCCGCGCCCATGAGATTGCCCTGGAGCAGCTGCGCCTGGCCAACCTGAAGAACCCCTGGACAGGCCCCGACTGCCAGCACTAAAGAGGAGGAGGAGGAGGAGGAGGAGACCTGCCACTTCGCATCCGAATTCGAATCACTTGCATTGCCTTAGGTTAGCCCACATCCACATCCCCACACACCCTGCACAGTCTCACCCATTCGCATAACACCACTCATACACATACTCGTACACCTGTATAGCTTAAGCGATTCACTTCGAATCCCGAAACGATTCAAAATGCATTCAGTTGAGAAACAACACAAACTATACGGAACGCAATGGAACGTGGAGTGCACGCAGGGGCCCCTTTTGGGGCGGGAACGGAGGCGGTGGATCGGGGTGGAACAAAGGAAATGGCTTTCTCGACTTTACAGTTATAGAATAGCTGAGATGCTAATTCGGAGTCGCCAGATTGTCGGTCGATCAGAATGCGCATAAAATGCTAAAATTGCGCCGCAATCTGGCACAGATGAAGATGTTATCTGATCCGATCCGATTCTGATCGATTCAGTTCTTAACACTTGACGCATAAATAACAAGTTGGTGATATGGGTAGTAAGAAGCATCCCAGCTAGGGGATACTCTAACTAACTATTTGATAATCCTTTTTCGACGGATATGTCTATGGAATAAGCCTTAAACTTTGCAAAAGGCAAGGTAAAACACTCCCTGAAAGCGGATTGATTTACACAGATAATTAAAGGTAACATTTTGCGGGTTTTTTCCGCTGGGCGGGGCATCAGAAAGTCTAGCTATATCTCAAAATAATGCCACTCCATTGCCTTCTAATCTGCATAACAAATTTGGTAACTCTAGCGCAAAATGGTGTCACACTTCTAGCTGTTTATACAAACTCCGCTATTGACCCTGATCAGGAATTCGAATGCAACTATTTTTTATTTTTAGGCCCGTTACACAAATCTCCATAAATCCAATCTATGTATATAGCCTTAGGCATATGAAAATGCTCTACAAATTTATACGGAACGCAGTCCACTTAGCGTCCACAAGCGTCCTCACTGACCTATCGCAAATCGCAAATCGAACGGTCCCTCCGTCCGTTAATCGGTGCTGGAATTGATGAAATTGCCTTTCCCCCATCGCACGATAAGATTTCCCTGCTGTCGCTGCTGTCAGTGGTTACGTGGCGCATGAGTAACGGGACAGAGTGACTAATGTGGCGCCATGGAGAAGTTCTATTGGTACGAACATGGAGCAGCATCTGATATCTACTCCGCTGGTGGCGGATGCAGAGAGACACTTGATAAGACAAGATTTTGATGTTACAAAAGATCTGTCGTGTTTGAAGAATGCGTTGTCTGCAGGTTCCAAAGTTCAGTCTATGAATCACAATTGGGGGGGGCGGAACTCTTGCTAATTCTGCCACTGGAAAGCTCACATGATTATTGCCAGAGGGTCCAAAGATTGGAGGGGAATTTTATTTTCTTTTACACACAGAAAAAAACTGTAAACAAAACGCCCTTTGTTTATGGTATATGAAAGGGTTGTAACAAAGGAATAATAATATCATTAAGATCATCTCAATTCGATATTATCTTAGTTGGATTTAATAAACTGAAAAGTAGAACTTTCACTTCTTGATTTAATTTGATTTATTTTATGTTCTGACGCTACAAGTAAATATGTCGCCAATCTCAAAATAAATTAAAAATTAATAAAATAACATGTTATTAACTTAATGTTCTAATTTTATTGATTTATACTTAAGATTATAAAACTTAGATATTGGTTAAATACCAATGGCAATGGTAATAATTTTATATAAACCTTAATAATTTATATCAAACTTGAATGATAAAGAAAGTTTACACATGAACAATTGCATAGATAATATCTATCCCTGATCTTTATCTCTGTTTATCGATGGCTTATCTGCCAACAATCGATGGCTTCAATCAGGACGATTGATTCGATTGGCAGCAGATAAGCCATCGACTGATGTTTGGCTGATGCAACTTTCGACTTTGGCTAGACCAGACAGGCCCAAACAATGGGGTTACGCTCCGGTCGTTGATAAAGCCCAATTTGGCCTTGTTCCGCCACATTTGGGATTTGGGCCATTTAATGCCAAAGCAAAGTGCGCAGTTTCTTTCCGGCTATACATTTGTATGTGCGAATTATGCGTGCATATTTATAGAAACGCCAAAAGGCAAATCTGACTCTTGTGTTTACATTATTTCAGCAGGCCCACAATGGAACAATATACGGCTAGTGACTGGCGAAAACACCTTTCGAATTGAATTCCCCGAAATAGGAAATATTTCAATAATTCTTTTAATGGCGGCCGCCGCGTGAATAGATTCCTTCCATCACCTGAATAAATACAAACAAATTACAGGGGATTCCTGCAAATTGATTCAGATTAGCCAGGTATGAATGCTCCAAGATGCACAAGTTCTGGGAATTATAGAATTAATTCACATTTGTTTAGATTGAGATAAATTGATAAATTGAGATACATACCTCGGGGATCTTTGAGTTTGTTACCCAATTAATGTATAAATTATATTTTATGAGTGATCAACTGATTATACTTTTGATATTTCCAATTATCGCCACAAAGAACTTCCTTCCCCAAATAAACCTAATTACTTCCCCAATCAAAAAAAATCACTTCTCTTCAAGTTGACTTACTTTATTTCACCAGGGATACAAATCATAATCGCAATCTTTAGCAGATTTAACAAGCGTGTCGTAAATAAGTCAGACTGCCTTTTGGCCAGCTCCTTACCTTGGCCATAAATGGAAATGTTTGCCCGGTAGTTCCCCCCATCAAGCCGTTAAGTGGCAGGCAAACAACGGCACTTTCTGTCGCCTAAATTTATTTTTCTTTGGAAGTACCGATGATAAGAGCAGTAAAAAAATGCCCAGATAAATACAATGAAAACTGCAAAACAACAACAATACAAATGCTCATACAAATTTTCCGACAATTATTTGCCTTGATATATATTTATGCAGAAGAATATTTGTTGTTGTCGTGGCTCGCTGGTATTTTTAGCAAAGGCGACAAGTTATTTTTAACACTCCATGGTATTTTTGGGAGCCCGAGCTAATGCGCCGCAGACGATAATGATAATGACGAAGTCACTGTCGAGTTGGGGCCATCACTCAGGCCGGCGGGTTGGCAACCCCCACAGCTACTATTGGCCAAAAGTGATTTGCTTAAAGCCAATGTAAACAGCAATTAGTGATAAGTCCGAGATAGGAGCTACTTATCAACGAGAAAGTGGGTCTCCCTAGGGAGCAGACACGCTCTCCTTGGCGAACCTTGAATTTGTTTTCGCCTCGGCACTACAACTCATATTGAACGTAACTGATAAGTCGCAGATAGTACTTCGCCATATTTAATGATCGCTTTTTGTTTTTGCACCTGCTTTTAGCTGTTTGATTTAGTCACTTTCTCTGCCAGAAGCCTTCTTGAAACCATATGCTAAAGCAATTTGTTGTTTGTTTCGACAACATTTTAGATTGCCGAAGCACTAAAGCAGCGACGATAAACATTTGCTTGTTGCTAGGCCATAGCATTTTGGGGACACATTTAGTGCAGAGAGTTATGAAAGCGAAAACGTGATATGATAGTCACATGTTGGCGATTATCACGCTTTTGCGATAATTCCATTTTGTGTCAATAGCAAACACCGGGTTCTGGCTGTTATATTGATTGGATAAATTTTCAGAGTACATTGGACCCAGTTGAGTGTAAATATTAATTGGTGACTGTACACTTTGGGCAGCTGATGCATTTGATAAGCATCCCCTTTATTACTAAAAATAATTAGTAATTATAGTAATAAAAAAATATATTTACTAATTTTTATTTTCTTGTATTTATTACTTATTTATTATACAATTATAATAGCTATAACATTTACGTCGTTTAGTATGGTTTTTAGAGTAAGTATTATAGCTATTTGAAAACCTGTAAAAGGATTTTAATTACAGAAATCATTAGTAGTTTCCTAATATATTTAACTGAGTTAAACATTCCGTTGTTTTTAATTATTATTCTCAGTGGAAAGTATTTAAACTTATATCATTTGTTTATATGTACATACATATCTCTGGCATCTGGACAGGTTGCAAATTTGTAATTTGGTAGATTTAGTCTATTTTGATATAATTAACTCTGATGCATAGCGATTGGTTCTTATTTATAAAAGGTAGTTTTAGTTTTAGTTTGCCTAGTAAAATAAAATGGTAAAATAGATACTTCTGAGCATCTGGGGATTAAAAAAAAAAAATTGTTACGTATCTGGATGTAAATCCAAGACATCCAACTCGTAGATCTGTAGCCATAAGCTTTAAAACCATTTGGAAAATGCAAAGTTTCCTTATTTTTAGTGGGTGGATGAGTTCGCTTCTTAGCCTGCATCTATTATTGCAATGAAAGCTTTAAATATGACCCTTAATGTATATCAAAAATTAACCTAATTAAAGTAGTTTAAAGATATTAAATATTAAGAATATTAAAGATATCACTTTTCTTCTCATCGAATGTTAATCCTTAGAATTTTCGATTTTTCGAAAAGAATCCTAAAATAACTACATAAAAAGAAGAACCTATACTATATCTCTCCCGCCGGATATTCTAAAATAAATCCAGTTATTCCTAGAAAAAAAATAGCTATAAACCAAAGTCTGGGAAAAAACATTCCCAGCGAGTACGCAATTCTTTTTACCGCCTGAAATATGTATCTATAAGATACATATATGTATGTCCAAACATATCTATAGAGCTACTGGGTCAATCTGCCAGACTCGTACCGCTATCGCCCCGCAACAAAAGAAATTACCCGAATTTATCGCCCGCGCAGAGACCATGTGATACTTCGGCATTGACGTCACTAAGACATTTGCTTTCGTCACTGTTTGTTTGGCAGCATTGCTACAAGTACATTGAAGCATATTTATAGACACCGAGCTGGTGCTGTCCATTATCCCGACTGTGGGCGTGTCAGGTGGGCGGCACTCGGTTCCTTGATCTTGGCAAAAGGGCGGGTGTAAATGGCAGTGTAAA